TTTGCACTCCCACCAGCAGTGTATGAGAGTTCCCTTCTCTCCACATCCTCTCCAACACATGTTGTTTCCTGTCTTGTTAATTATAGCCATTCTGACGGGTGTGAGGTGATATCTCATTGTACAAGCTTTTGGTTTGTAGCCCAAACATGGATCTTTAATAATTTTTACACAGTTGACATGAACATTTTCAGTAAATACAGTATGTCCATTCTTGGAGTCTAATCAATAATCCAAAAGTGTCTGTGCATTCAAATTATTTAGATTAAAATTAATGAATATAGTTTTAAATAAACAAATTTAAATAAATGTATTCCAGTATTACCTATTTTAAAAACTAGAATAATTCAAGGAACACTGTATTAATTACCTATTGCTGTATAACAAATTATCCCCAAAACCTAACAGCTTGAAATAATAAACATTTATTATCTCATACAATCTCTATAAGTCAGAAATCCAAGGGTGGCTTAGAATATGGGTTCTGACTCAGAGTCAAGACATCAGCCAGAGATACAGACGTCCGTGACTTGACAGGCTGGAGGATGTGCTCCCATGGTGGCTCACTCACAGGTCTTGCAAGTTAGTGCTGCTTGTTGGCAAGACGCCTTGGTTCTTTACCATGTGGACCTCTCCTTAGGGCTGCTTGTGTCCTCATGACATGACAACTATTGATCCTAGAGACACCAAAGTGGAAGCTGAAAATGTCTTTTATGACCTAGTTTTGGAAGCCATACTAGTCGTTTCCACAATATTCTATTGGTTTCACAGGTCAGCTCTAGTCATTGTGGGAGTGAGCTGCCAAGGGTGTGAATATCACCAGTGAGAATCAGTGTGGGCCGAGTTAGAGGCTGACTACCACGAACACAACCACACAGCACGCAAAGTATGGTGTCGTTTACTGGAAGTGCGGAATTGTTTGATAGGAATATCTGAGAAATAGTTCTTAGAAATAGTAGTTAGTTCCAACTCCTGGGATGTAGAAATCATAATTTTTTATGAAAAAAATGTAAGTTGTAAAAATTTAGATTGGAATAATTTTGAATAATCTTAAAATTCTGAAAATAAAAATTAAGCAGTTTAATATGTGCTGTGCACTGAACCTCTTTTAATCATCACAATGATTATCAGGCAGGTACTATATTATACCAGTTTTATTCAGAAGAGGAGCCTGAGACACAGAGAATTTAGATAATAGATCACATGGTGATTAAATGGAGGGCCAGAATACAAATCCAGGTTTTACTACTCAAAGCCTAAAGGGTTTGCCATTGTCTCTTACCAGGGTACTCTGCTCCAAATTTCTAAATATTTGCATAAAAATATTATTATACCGTTTGGAGCAAGAAATATTGTATTTTCACCTAACATTTCTGAATTAGTTTGACTGGAGGGGTTATAAAGTAAGACTAAGTGCTGTTTCAATTATCTTCCCTTTGATCAGAAACTGATACTCGAGCTTTGGCAAAAGAGAGACAAAAAAAGGACAATCACAACCTCAGTGAGTATATTTTCCTTTTTTCCAAACAAAATTAGTTAATGCAAGAGGAAATGAATGGAGGTCAAATTGTGTGGTCTTTTATTGTCACTCCATAAGTATTTTGAGGTCAGATGACCAAAATTAATAGTACATGCTCACTAAGTGAGCTATTTTTGGAAATTCAAATGATGTGAACTTGCAGAAAAGCTATACATTTTTACGAAGTGAAACATCTCAAATTCTCTCCTTGATCGCTCTCTTTCAAGAAGCCTGCATGTGACCGAGATGATTGCACTTGGCTACATTTGAACTCCGTTGTGACTCATTGACTCAAAGGTTTAAAGAGATAAAAATGACTTTAGAAAATGTACACCACTTAAATAGCAAGAAACATAACTCCAGGTCTTCAGCTTTCTGTGTCAATCTGATCCTCCCTTCCTAACCATGAGTTATCTGAAAGGTATTGCTTATGTTGCAGTGCTGAATTCCACCTCTGCAAAAAAATGGCTCTGAAGTCTTCCTGGAGTCAATTTGACTCTGATAACGGGTCACATGAGATGGAGAAACGCAGGCAAGGGAAGTAGTTTAGCTGCAAGGTTGAGCTTGAAAGTGCTTGGTCATGTCTCAAGTGCTTAACTGTTTCAAGTGAGCTTGACTAATTGAGTGTGAAGACATTTTTTTCTGGGAACCAAATCCAAAAATGAGACAGAATAAAATAGAATAAAAATAAATAAAAACTTTAAAGCTCTGAAACAAACCAGTAATTTCTTTATATGCAATTAGCTGAAATTGATTCTACATCTACCTGTGAAATCTGCATCTGATTGTTCACCATGCACCTTCCTGTGTCACAGAGGGAGCAGAGTTTGCTGACTAGGTGACTGCAAGGAAAGAGCTGTCATGTGGTTATAACAGTTCTTTGGGTAGTGATCTGATTCTGATAGCCCTTAGTGGTAGAGCAGATAAGCTTTGGTCCAGATTACAAGATAAGTAGAACATGCGAGGGAGAGCTAATTGTTTATAGCAAGGAATTAATGCATCAAGGAACTACAGCTTCTCTCTTAGTTTTAAATTTGCTAACTATTACTCTCCTTCCTCCTTTCTTCTCTCTTCTGTGTCCACAACTTAAACAACAGGTCATTTAATGAAAATATGATAGGTGCCTGGTATGTCTATTATCAAAGTGTTTTCTAATCTAGATTCCCTTACTGAGTGATCTTGCTTTTTGGAGATATCTATGCAAAAAAAATCAATATCACATTTTAAATATAATGAATCTAGGAAAACCCCTAAAACTTGTAAGGATCATGGCAAGAAGACAAATGAAGTCTCACTTACCAGATGTCTAAATATCTAAAAGTCATAGCTCAAGCTAGAAAGTGCTACATGAAGTATGCTCTGTCTTTCCTAAAGACAGAAGGCCACGTGTGAATTAGAATTCTCAGGTCCTTGGAGTTCTGAGTGGGAATGTCAGGGTGGGACAATGCCAGCCCTCAGCCAGCAACCTATCTCTCTTCTCTCCCCTCCCCCAATTCCATTCTGTGCTGCAAGTTGCCTCAGACATGAGTGTGAACACCTCATCCAGTACATTCAATACATACACATCTCTGCGAACAACTGCCCCTTGTCCACATCTTGGGTCTAGGGATGAGCACACTGGTGTTATGGTCCTCCCTCAGGAGGATAGACCTGGGAAGTGACCTGCATAGGTTCTAAAAGTGGGCTCAGGGCATTTGGGAGGATATTCCCAGTGCAAATTACCCGGAGTGTAGTTTAGAAGGGGTTCCCTTGACCCTGTGGCTGCCTTGCTCAGTGGGAAGATGTGTGGTGAGAAAAGGGCAAAGTGGCTTCTCCTAAGTATGGGATCTGGGATAGGGGCTCCTCTTGCCTGGATCTAAGGACGAGAACGAATGAATATATCAAAAACTTTGTGACGAGTGAAACCACACATGGCGTGAAATAACAAAATTTCTTAAAATTTGACTCCTTTACAAATAACTAGTACTGAATATGAAAACATTGAAGAACCAAAGTTCTCATTATAATTATCCATTAAAAAATTTGTCAATCACAATCTAAGAAGAGTACAGTAGAAACTTCTGATATTTTACATAAGGTGCATTTAAATAATAGATTTTGGAGAATTTTAGGACTAAACCAGCCCCCTATTTTGAGATAAAACTGTGAACATCCTTAGTAGCTATTCTTCATCCTATATTTAAAAGTCTGTTATATAATATAAGAGTGAGTATGTATGAACATAGAATTATTAACAAATTCTCACTGTGAAATATATATATATTTCTATCAGCTTTACCTTTGTTTATTTTCTTTTCAGTTTTTTTATGTGGTGTCACTGTTTTTTGCATCACATGTACAAAGAAAACAGGAGTGGTAAAGAGGCAAAATAAACTCTCTCAGGAATCAATTATGTCCTAATTTTAGAGGAATCCCAATGTATTTTTCCTGAAGGTCAAATCCATTCATGGTAAATTGCTTTGTAGGGTAGGTTCACCAAGACAACTGATATTCTTTCACGACTTCCCATGTTTCCATAGCAGATCTTAATTTTCAAGTGTGTATTGTTTAAGTATTTTCCAATATTTTTGATATATGATTTTCTTCTTCTTCATGACTTTTTTCTTCCTTCATTTCCCTGGAAAGCTTTAAAAATATTGTCTATTAAAAAAATATTATGTATAAGCATATATTGTAGTTCTTGACTCTAGGAATGTAGAGTAGACTATAAGAGTATTCCCTATGAGACTGTTCTAGATAAGGGTTAATATGGGAAGTTTTACTTATTTATATATATATTGTTTATTGTTTATTGAAGATTTACTAGACGCATAAACTTTCCATAAGCAATAAATGCATGGAAATACAAACAGAGAAAACAGTCTCTGAATGAAAACCTATATCAGTAGTTCTCAAGGTGTGCGCCCTTGACAAACAGCATCGGTACCACCTGGGAACTTGTTATAAATGCAGATTCTTGGGCCCCAATCCAGATCTACCAGGTCCCTAGGTGTGGGGGTAGATCTCTAGGTGTGGGTGCAAATCTATTTTAATAATCCCTCCAGGTATGTCTGATGCACACCAAAGTTTGAAAACCACTGCTCTATATATTATTGAAAAATTTTAAATTAGAAAAATATATTTATGGTCTAATTGACATATATTTATTTAGCATCTCCTATATGCTAAATATGCTCATCATAAGCTTCCTCATATGCTATACGAGGAAGAAATGGTCCCTGCCCTCAAGGAGGTGATAGTCTAGTTGAGCACACACATCTACTAACACAAACTTTGTGTTAGGCTTTCTGGGGAGTATATGAGAAGAATAAAGCATGGTCCAGACCTCAAAAGATTGTAATTCTGGTGGACTGACAAAATGCATGTGTTTGAAATAATGATCATATAGGGTATATATATACATTTCAGTATAAGTGAATATTATAGCATTTCAAAGAATGAAAAAAATGTTGGTTTTGAGAGAAAGTGTTTTTAAAGCATTGTGAATAATAGAATCACAATTCTAATAGTGTTATTTTTACTTTTAGAATAAAATATGTTTGAATTTTTATTTTATTTTTGAGCATACTCTTTGGACTGAATGGAAATTTTTTGCTTATTGTTTTTTAAAGACCGTGAAGAAAGTTTACCAAAAGTGACCAAAAGTGAATTGTGCTTTAATGAGAATAAGCAATAATTTTTCTTTTTTAATAGTTGAAAGAAGAAGAAGGTATAATATTAATTACCGAATCAAGGAGCTTGGCACTCTTATTCCAAAGTCTAATGATCCGTGAGTTTAACATTCATTTCTATAATAATGTTATGGTTTCAATACCCCCCAAAATGGGCCAGAGGGAAGAGGGGGAGGGGAGAACCAATGACTAGAAAACTAAGTAGCTTATGGCAAAGATAGGGCTACTGTTGGTCTCATTTTCAAATATCTATTGAAGGCTGATAGTTATTAAGCATCAAGTTTGTTATTAACACTTATCCTTTTGAGCTATAGGAAATAAGTAAATTATTTCTTCTCAGTTCATAGTGGGTCTTTCTGTATGACAGTGTCAAATGCTGTCTACAATATTGATTGTTATATACTTAATTTATGGTTATAGCAATTCTTCTAATTTAAGATTTATGTGTATATGAAAATTGAATTGTTGGATTTTCAGAGGTTCCAAAATTCTGGAGACATGCAAGTAAAAAATGGAATTGTAAAATATGCTGATTGATGCCAACCAATAATTGGTTATTGTAATTAAATTTTCAACCAGGTTTTGGTGTCATATACACACACAGTCAGTTAAACAAGATGTTGGAGGTTGTAAATTTCAAGAAATACTTGATTAATCAAAGTATCAATTTAGAATGTTGAATGTTTCTCCAAAAACACGATCTATAGAATTAATGGTGACTTGAAAAAATGTTTTGTTCAAACTAAGAACTGGCCTCTCCAAATACTGGCAATTGTCCGTTATTCAAAAACAATGATATTTGATAGATAAAGTGATATTTGTGGAACTTGGAAGCACTTTTCCCTAAATCCAAATGTGCTAATTCACTCGGACAATTCAACCATCTGCAGTAGAAGGGAATGTAATATTTATCCTCATGGATAGACTAAATAGCAAAGGCATCTAGAGTAAATGACAGAAGGAGCACTGGATAGAGAGTCCACAGAGCTCAGTCTTAGTCTAGGCCCTACCAAGAACCCTTCAAATCTTTTAAAGTCTCTAAGCACACAACTCTTTTTATTAGCAGAAGAGAATACCCATTTTCCTGATAGGACTTTTTTTTTAACACTTAAAATATAAATGCACGTTTATTCACCACACATTTGATGTAAGGCCAAGGCCTTTTTGTTTGAATATGTGTTTCAATTTTTCTTTCTTAATAAACTGCACTAAAATGTATAGTCTATTTCAATTTCTTTAAAATAACACAAAAACTTAGATAACCTAAGTAGAGATGGATTTTAAAAATGTTTACTCCCTAATTTGTTACAGCATTTTTTTCAGCAACCTACATTTACTGACATTTTGAGTTTTTCCAAAGCTTTTAATATAATTTTCCTAGAAACAGTAACTATTTTTTATAAATGCTCTTTCTTTTTTTGTGTTCGTATTTCATTAATGTACATATAATTTAATTATACTACTATAATAACAAGTGCAATGGGCATTAATTTAACAGCCTCTCAGTAAGCACATGCCACCATAAGGATAACAGAAGTACCTGGGTGTATCAGAAGGTAGCCTAGTGGCCTCTGTTAACTACTTTGTTCTGACAACAGTCCATAGGTGTCACAAAGTGGATGGAGAATATTAATTAATCCTGAAAGTGATTAGATAAATGTCAGTTAAGACAGCTTCTCTTAACTGGTAGAACTAACTGTCGGTGCCAGGGCAAGGTTATATGCAGAAAGTGGATGAGCCTATGAGATTAGACTCTGAAGCCTAACTAAACGTCTTCAGATGTCACCATGCCTTGAAGGTACCAATTGTGTGACGGGGTTTTTATAAAAATAAAATCAAATAATATGTCTGAGGATACATATTATAAAGCTTGTGTGAAGGATTGTTAGTACTCTACATTTTTATAGAAGCTTTGGTTATAAAAAGGCTCCTTTCTAGTTCTAATTCATTGTCTAAAGCAGAAGATGGCAAACTTTTCCTGTAAAGGACCGGATAGTAAATATTTCAAGCTCTGTGGGCCTTATGGTCTCTGTTGCAATTATTCAACTGTGCCACTGTGACATGAAAGCAGACAGAGACATGTACATAGATGAGCATGACCATGTCCAATGAAACCTTATTGACAAAAATAGGCTGTGGGCTGTACTTTGTCTACCCCCAATCTAGAATATGGAAAATCAATTTATCACAGAATCGTATCTGAAAGGGACCATAATTGGGAAAACTTCATTGTAAGCACTCTTAAGTGTCTTTCTCTTCTTTATGGATCTCAGAAAGGAGGATTATTATTTGTTTTAATTGCATTATGTTATATGTAGGCAAATTATATTTGAGTCTAATTGAAAACATTAATTAGTCAGATGTTGAATATGTCTATATGTGGATCTGTCTGCATAGCACAGACAGAAAAGACATTTCACTGATGGCTGTGGCATTCCAGACATCTCAAGACCAATTCTGTTTCAATGCATCTTATCCCTTGGCGTGCTGTGGCCTCACCAGTTACGCTAGTGCCTCTTTTTAGGGTTTACCAATATAAGTCCTATTGTTGAATCCAAAATTCAGCCTCTTAAAACGGACTTTACTTGAGAAATAGAGTCTGGATCCATGGGCTTAAGGAGTAACCATTAACTCTATGAAATTATTTTGGATTCATTTGTTGAATTTTCAGATGCTACGTTGAATAATCTAAAAATGACATGATGAAATTAATAGAGAAAGAGTGTGGAGATAAAACAGAGGAGGCAAGTTTCACTTTGAAATTGGAAAATAAATGAACTGTTATTACCAAGTTAGGGCAATGATGAAGTTAACAAAAAAGTGGATCTAAAAAAAAAGCCAAATGATTTTAGTTTGAGTTTAACAAGTTTCAGACTGATTTGTTGAATGGGTGACTACAACCATTAAAATGAATAAGATCAGTTCCTTTTTTAAAAAGTGAGAAAATATGTCAGATTATAAAATTATCTAGTGTGAGATTTTTCAAATTGTGTGTCATAACCTATTAATGGATCATGAAATCAATCAAATGGGACAGATCCAGCATTTTTAAAGAAAGAAGGAAGAAAGCATTGAAAATATCAGAGAGTATTACATACTACACATAAGGAGGATAGTAATGTCTTGTGAAACCTTTGTTGCAGTTTAATGCACTGAGTGCTCTGGGTCACAATAGAAAACATATTTCTTATGGCAGATGCATTTGAAAAAGGCAGGAAAGCCACAGATTTGCAGAAAGAGCACTGAATTGAGTGAAGACACCTGGGGCTCATCTAAACACCACAGGATCTTGGGCAAATAGCAGATACTGTGAAGTCATTGACCTCTGAGGACCTTTCCAACTCATGATTAGAATAACTTAGGAGTTGCCTTAGGAAATCAAAGCTAATACCAAAGATATTTTGAATTCTATGGAGATGCCATTTTATGTTTCAAAAACATTCAGAAATGTGTATTTCTAGGTCAAAATATTAAGGTCAGAAGGGAAAATGATGTAGCAAACAGCTGTAGTTGAGATATATAGATTGGGAAAACTAAATGAAAAAACCAACTACCAGGAATCACAATCTCTTCACCACTGGTAAAAAAATAAAACCAAACAAAACTAACGAACACAAAAAGTGAAGAGCTTCTATGGATGTGTGGTAGTGATCTATTTCATATGTGCTTTTTATGAATCGTATTTATGAAAAAAATCATAGTAGAAATAAAAAATATCAGATCATGAATTATTCTATTAGTGATATCAAATTACTCTTGTTTTTCTCCTTTTTTATTTATAAAATAGATTACAGTTTTTTTACTAAATTGATCTTTTTTTTTCCTCTAAAGTCAGAACTTTCTCCTCCTTGTGTGTAAGAATGGTAGTTGAGATAGTAAATGAGACCTAACAAGACTTTCTAAATTAGAAGTTGTAAAATGTTGATCGAAGCAAGAAAACTCAAACCTGTCATGGTTTCTTCTTTCTTTCTTTTCTATTTTTTAATGTTTTAAGTGGATGTGTACTCCTAAGATGACAACAGATTGTACATTTTCCATAGTTTTGCTGGGCTGCACTCCTACCTCAATGTACATATTTCTATTACTTTGCCTTAGCCTTAAAAGCATTCAAGCTTTTAACTTCCCAAAAGTTTTAAGTTCTTCAAAGAAAATTATTTTGTGGAAAGTGAAAAGCCAGGATCAACATTAATTTTTAGGCATGCCTTTATATGTGTTAGTGTTACTGTCACATAAGGTGTTTTTAATGCTTAACTGCTTGAAATTATCTTGGGCAACAGGAAAATATCTCCTAAATAAATTTGGAAAACTTAGAATATTTTAAGAAGAAACCTCATATATTAAAATGGCTTTACAATAGAGTGAACTTTTAAAAATATAGTGCAAATGACATCAGGTAGAAATTATAGGAAGACCCATAGTGTGGTCTCTACCACCATTTTGAAGGTTTACTTTAGACCTAAATAAACAGTACCTTAAGCTTCAAAGTTGACTAGAGTTATCCTTTTTATTTTATTCCTTCTGTCCTTCAAGTTTTTCTTCCCATGAGAAGAAATGAAACACAATTAGGGCCATCAGGCTCCTGCTGCCACTTAGAATTTTAATTCAGGAGTTAACCGCACTCTTCAGGTACAGATAACCTTCTTGGTTTGATGACAAAAGTAGCCTCTCTTGCTCTAGCCTTCCCCCCACCAGATAAATCACTGTGAGTGGAATGAGACCAATGGCTATTATGGCCCTAGAGAACTGACAAAGCATTTTCAAACTTGAGACAGACTCTGATAATGGTTTGGTGCATTTCAGTAGAAGACAGCTTATCTAGGCCCTAAAAAGCATTTTCCCCTGTCGGTGGAAAAATGTATCTTCTGTTAATTTGTTACAGCTAATGGGGTTGTCATCTAACCTGAACTTCCAATGAGGCATTTGCAAGTCAGATTTTTCATAAACTATATTTTCCCAATTCTGTTCACTTAAGAAATACATATTAAGTTCAATATATTTCATGTAGATCACATAAACTAAATATATATGCAGTGTAATGTCTTTTTAAAATCTCCTTATATGCTTACTTTATGCTGTATTTAAAAAAAATCTCAAGACTCTAAACTGAAAATTCATCAAGGTTTTCCAACTGTTCTGATTAACTTTTAGCAATTAGTTTGGCCTCATTCTCCACACATATTATCAATTCTCACACAGCATTAAATTCATTGTCGTATGCTTTCAGATATTAAAATTGGTAGCCTGTTCCATAATTCCAGATTTATCATTTCTCCTGTCTTAAAAATAAGTTTTAATAAAATATTTTTTCTATGCTACAGTCTGAAAGGTTATCCGGTAATGTTTCATTGTATTTACTTATCTTAAACTTATTTAAAAATAGATATCCAGCTTTTTAAAAAAGGATTGATGCTTTTTGTGCAGAAAAATTTTCCTAATGCTTTTAGAAAGTTTTGCTCTATTGCATAAAGTGATGTTGCCAAATTCTGATTTGTTTCACAATCACTCAAGATCACCATCGGGAGGAACTTTATTATTTTCTTAGAAGCATAAAAGAAACCTTATTAGAAAGTAGGTTAAAAGATTGGTACATTTGAAATGATCTTAAAAAATTTAGGCTTAAGTCCTCAGTAACTTACATTTCCTAGTTCATTAATGCAGAAATACCGCACATAGATTTTAATCTCAGAGTTAATAATAAAAGCAATTTTCACTAAAAATATAAAAACTGTAATGGTAAAATCATGATATTGCATTTAGCTCTCCCACAAAAAGTCACTTTATTACTTTCTTTTGACACTTATTTTCATTCTGGGATTAATTTTACTATATAAGGGCTTCTTAACTATTCTATTAAAATTTCTATTCAGAAGCAATAATATCTAAGAGTGAATAATAGTCATGTAAATCATTATTTCATATTAATGTAAAAGATTTTGTAAGTTCTTATGAATTCTGCTGACATGCACAATTGTGAAAAGGTTATCTCTCCGTTCTACAGTGATATGCGTTGGAACAAAGGAACCATTCTAAAAGCATCAGTGGAGTACATCAAGTGGCTACAAAAAGAACAACAGAGAGCTCGAGAATTAGAACACAGACAGAAGAAATTAGAGCAGGCTAACAGGCGGCTTATACTCCGGATTCAGGTTTTTATAAGAATGTTGCCATGAACCACATAGCTTACAAATGACTTACCTACGTCATCTGTTTTATTCACTGGTCTCATTTATTTTTTTCTTATTAACAATTATTTTTGTTCTGAAGGATAATTTTATTGCCTTTTAGAAGTTCATGAATTGGGTTGTTTCAATTAGGTTCTCATTAGAAACCCAGGATCATGATGACTTAAAAAATATATAATGAATGACAACAACTAATTGCAAAATGCAGAAAATAGAATCAATTTTATAAAAACATACAATATTGGGCCGTCCCTGTGGCTTAGTGCTTAAGTGCACGCGCTCAGCTACTGACAGCCCGGGTTCGGATCCCAGGCGCGCACCGACGCACCGCTTGTCTGGCCATGCTGAGGCCGTGCATACAGCAACTAGAAGGATGTGCAACTATGACATACAACTATCTACTGGGGCTTTGGGGAAAAAAAAAAAAGGAGGAGGATTGGCAATAGATGTTAGCTCAGAGCCGGTCTTCCTCAGCAAAAAGAGGAGGATTAACATGGATGTTAGCTCAGGGCTGTTCTTCCTCAAAAAAATAAAAACAACAACAAAAAAACCCAGCCCAAAGAAAAATAAGCAGAACATTTGTTTCTGCAGAGAATACTGGACACTAAATTCTTCCCTCCTCCTTTTATTTCTTTAGTAACATTGCTATGGATTTCATTGCCTCTAAGCATATTGCGCTAATTTATATTAGGTCACTCCTCATCTCTTCGTGTGACACAAAATAGCAAAATATGGATTTTCATAACTCACAAGTTTGTTTTTATATGAGCACACTTATTTCTAGGTAAAGCATTGTGAAATTGTCCTATAGTGAGAAATTAATCGGGAAGAATAAATGGAAGATTTTCCACTATTTCCAAATAACTGTATGGTAGTCTGAGCCACTATGGGAGCATTATACATCATCTATTCCTTTAAAGAACAATGGAAGGAGAATTTTTAAAAAGTCTTAGTGTTTTTCTCAGGGTTATTTTTCAGGCATTAGAAATATATCACATTCCATTATTTGCAAAGAGTATTTATAATATGTATTACTCTTCATTTTCAGTGCTTGTTAATATTTTGGTTCTATTTCTGCTGTATTCTTTAGAGTTAAGACCACTTTCAAAGTCAATATTTAATTATTTTTGTTTGAAATTGCAGGAACTAGAAATACAGGCTCGTGCTCATGGTCTGCCAACCGTGGCTTCACTCGGCACAGTTGATTTAGGTGCTCACGTCACTAAACCACAGACTCATCTTGAACAGAATTCAGTAGACTATTCCCAGCAATTGACTCTGTCTCAGGGGACAAGCCCTGAGCTCTGTGATCAAGCTATGGCCTTCTCTGATCCTTTGTCACATTTCACAGATTTATCATTTAGTGCCGCTTTGAAAGAGGAACAAAGATTGGGTGACATGCTACTGGATGACACAATATCTCCGTTTGGAACCGATCCTCTGCTGTCTGCCACTTCCCCTGCAGTTTCCAAAGAGAGCAGTAGGAGAAGTAGTTTTAGCTCAGATGATGGGGATGACTTATAAAAAATAAACAGGCTCAATTCATCAACCGGGAAGCAATTCTATGCTGGTGCTATGCATTTCTGTCCTGTGTTTTATATATTGCCTTGGCTTAATTTTTCTGAAAGGAGTATATTGTTCATAAAAAACTGATTAGAAACAACAGAAGAATTCACAGGAAGAAGAAACATGGTGTTGAAGAAATATTGAGGGCTAAAAGAGATTTTTTCCTCTTTGACTACGGAGTCCAAATCTACTTAAATTTTGTTTTCCTGGAAAGAGGTACAACATAAGGAATAGCTCTCTACTGATGTTGTAAAAGATGTACTATTGGAATTAACAGACTGAAAAGAGTAAACCTACCGAAATATACAAATTTTTTCTAAGTTGTTCACTTTCATCTCCTTCCTCTTGAACTCGTACAACATTAGTTTTCAAGAATCAAGATCAACAAATCTGGTGGTTCATTGCCTTTTTCCACTGTCTGGTGGACATTGTCTAAAGTTCAAGCCTTATATGGGAAATAATTAAAGGATAGATTATCTGTCACTTGTAATTGAAAAGTAAGTCTACAATAAACATTAGAATTTTTCACAATAAAATATAGAAAATTTATAAAAATTTTAGTTTCTAAAATTAGACCCTAATTCCCTTAGTCAGTTCAATTACACTAATTCTAAAAGCATCTTTGCATATTCATGGAGACATGCTCTGTTTAGAAAAAGGAGCACATTGAATAATTTCCTCAAGAATCTGGGCTAGAATTTTATTGCTTCACGCAAACATATCCTCACACACAAAGGCACACAATGTAGGTAGTATATGTTCTTTTTTTTTCCTTCACTCTCTTGATTTTCTAATCAGTTTCAGAAATCACATTCCAAATCTTCTTTTCTTCATCAAGAAGAGATACTGGATAATCAATTTCAGTAAATAAAATATAAAAAGTCCCCCTAGTAGGACAATTTTTCAGGTGTTTAAAATTTATCACTGTCTCCAAAATTGGATGTAAATTAGTTAGTTGATACAGCTTTTCTTCAAATTGACAAAATATTGAAAATTGGATTGCCAACTGTTAAAATAATTAGTAAAATAGAAACTTTCTTGTTACATTCAGCTTCGAGTGGAGAATAAAGTTCCATTCTCATAAGTACCTAGAATACCCTATAAGCTTTGCCAACTTTGTAAGTATTTATTAAGAATATTTATATCTATTATGCTTTACTCAAATTTTTCTCTTGAGCTTATTTTAGGATTGGGAATTGACTTACCAAGCATGTTGCCCTGTGCTGGACCTCTGTGAATGATCATCTGATCAATGAGTATTTATGGAGTGATACTCGAAAGTGCAATGGGTCCTGTACAAAGTAGAACAGATGAGCAAGATATGGTCTTACTCCTCAGGGAGTTAACAAGACTACAAGAGAAACAACAACACTTAGAAGACATATATAATTAAAGATTACATGGTGCAGCACAAGCTGTAAATACAGGTTAGAGAAAATGAAAATGAATGAAGGTTGGAGAATCACAAAAATCTATGGGAAGAGCAAAACTGAATTTCTTTTAAAAGCATTACTTCGGTGAAGGGGAGGGCATTTAGGGGAATAATATAAATCAAATGATAAAAGTAAGAATAAGTTGGGGAGGTATCTTCATGGGACGTTCATTAGAAAGATCTGGCCACCCTTGATGATGCCTGTTGGGAGTCCTGGAGAATCATATTGGCAAGAGGTTATAGAAGCTCTTGAAAACTAGAATGAAATGATATAGTAGAAACAGAGTTTTTTTACTAGGAGGGAGAAGCCTAAAAATTAAAATGCTACTGTATATTACTAATGTGATTGAGATGTAATCATTCATGGATATTAACTTTGGGATAAGTTTTTGAAAGGATGTTTCAGATATTACTCACGTGGAAAATACACCATCACAAAACTTGAGACTGTAATGCTAAAGAAAGTGGGAGAATAATAAATCCTTATGGTATAATAATTATCTCAGTCTTAGCTTATAGTAATAGCTCAGAGTTTGGAGAATTAAAATAATTTTCATTGTTTGACATGGCAAAAAATAATTTTTAATTTATAAGAATAGTCATTAAAGCCAGATAGAAAAATTTATCTGAAATATGCCACATGAAAGAGAGGAATAAGATACACTTCCTCAGGAAATTTAAGAGAATATTATATACTTTTATGACAAAATTCCACTTTATTATCTGAGGTGATAATTTAATTTGACATTGCAAGTCACAGAGAAGGAATATCTCTTGAGTCCATGGAAAACACATCACTTTGAATAAAGGCTAATTCTGTTCTCATTTTATCCATTATTCTCATTTCTTCATATTCTGAGAAGAATTGCACTGATGATGTCATTACTCTGTCATCATTTTCCATTTTGTTAAAATGCTACTACCCAGCCCTGAAACCCATTCCTCATAATCTCAGCAAATGTGAGAGCTTGACACAGGATGGTAGAAGCTGGATGAAAGAGATCTGGAAAGAGTACTGATATTTGCTTCTACTTTCAGATTATAGCAGCTATCAGGGGATTGTAAAATGGGTAGTGGATCTTTAAAGGCAGAGTAAAGAGCGGTGCTGTGTCACAGTCGACTGAAATAGATTAAAAAATTGATTTTAGTCAGTAGTTCTTAACTTTCTAAGGCCTTGAGGATCTAGTGGAAGTTATAGACCCTCTTCCCAGAAAAATACAGAGTTGTGCATACGGCCCCCAATTTACATGCACCGAGAGGTTTTAGGGACCTCCTGAATGTCTCCTTGGATCCCAGGTGAAGAATTCCTGCATCAGGTCTGTTACTAACAGACAGCATTGTAGCTATGCATCTTTCAAGAGCCAAGGACACAGTTAATGTCATATATAATGATGGAGGAGGGAGCCCTGGTTATCTGAATATCATTATCCCAACCCCAGTAGTGATGAGGTTGTGTAGGAAACTGAAACTGTACCAAACACTAGACTATTCACTAAGGAACTTGTTTACTTATAAAGTAGTCCCTTTAAACATCCTCTGTTATATATATATACGCCTCCTGTTATATACATATATTATATATTTATGGGTCAGTTTCTTTATGGTTATTGGATATTGTAAATATATGACATTAACATTTTCAAATGATACACATATAAATACCAAAGTAAAAATAACATAAATTCAAAAGCAAATTACTTGAGTATCTAAGAATCAAGAGAAATCCTTGGGAAAATTGATGGATGTCTAGAATATTTTTGCAGAAATGAGACTTATAACAGTAAAAGAAGCATATTGTTTATCAAAAAACTTTGTCACAAAAAGCATTGGATATCACTGGTCTATGAATATACAATTAACCAGGTCATGTTCATTCAAAGAATTAATGCATAATTGCATTACTTGCATAATTGCATCTGTTAAAAAAATAATTTTATTTTTATCATTTTTAGTTATCTTTTCAAGAAAACATCCCATCCAATCTCTTTTCTCTATTGTAAAATACTGGCCGCATTTTCATGGATTTACCTTAAGCAACATTTCCAACTCCCAATTATCTTAAAATAACGAGTGCCTCCTATGAATAGATATAGCTCTTCATAATCTTTTTTTCTTTTTAGTGTCCTTTCTTCTTGAACTTTTCCCGTTAACTGGAGAATATATGTATACAGACTATATTTCCTCAGTTTACAGACGTGATATCAGTAACTGTAGCCTTCTTTGTGTGGGTATAAAACCTCTAAATAATAAATAGACAGATGAGCTGAGGACATTGAGAAATAGCCTTCCTCCTCCTTCTTTTTTAGCTCATTTTTTTCACTCACATGAGTGTAAATAAAATATTTAATAGCTCTTATTTAAAAAAATTAAATACAATGAGTTTCTTGATTTGGCATGCTCATTTGCCTTCATGTCAGGGGAGAGGTTAGATTTTATAAAGTAAAAAAGAATGTATTTTTTCTTTGTTTCGATAGATTGAGTCTTATGAGAATTTTCTTATACTTCAAGGTATCGTGAAAATACTTTTTGTTGTTCTGATATTGTGAAATTTTGATATTTAAATAAATAAATGACAGAACTGTTTCAATGTTTGTATAATATCTCCAGGCTGATATTTACTGACCTCATTATATGTAAGATGTAGATGAAAACTGGAATCAATTAATCCTTTTGCTGTGTTATCAGCACTAGATCAACCATCTGGATCTCTTGAAAACACCTGAAGGATTGAATTTTGCTTTGGTATTAATAATGGCACAGCCTATATGCTGCGTGGGATTACATCATTTGCCCCTCCGGTGCCCTGCATGTTAAATATAAGATGTCAATTTGAGTTAGTGTAAGTTAATATATACAGAGATTTCCTTACACTTACTTAATAAATACTAAAGACTTTTAGAGTGTTGTTGATCTAATGTGTCATATGACCTTATAATCATTATTTATTGCCTACACCAATATTTTATCAAGTGTATGATGTTTAATTTGTAAACAAAGACACCATTCAACAACTGATAAAAATAGTTTTCTTAAAATTTTTCTCTGCTCCATTTGTTTTTCTGTGAGGTTCATAGAGAATTTGAGTGTATAGAATCAGAAAATAGTTATTTTGATTAAAAGAAGCTCCCACTGGATTCAACTAATTTAATGATGAAATACTATTCTCTGTTTTGTACATAAAAGGGAACTTTTTATCTTCTTGCAAAAGGATTTGTGTACATATTTCTACATATCCAAATGATTTCTATTGTGTTTTTTACTGATGAAATCCTCAGTAAAATGTCTTTTTACTACATTGATCCAACAGGCTTCAAGAATAAAGTTAAAGACTTTTGTATTTGCAATCCTACCTGTCTCATTCCTGCATTACTATTTTATTTAAAAAATTCTGTATTTTCAACTTTGCTTTTTGCACAGAAATAAATTTTATTTGTGTGTTATTTAAAGCTGGAGGTTATACGTAACAAACGAAATGGAAAATAAGCAAAAGAAAGGAGAGACTATCATTTTGCTGATATACAATCAGGAAGTTACATATTATGTTATTCTTTAACACATGACTACTAAAGTTTAAAAGCTAACTAAATTCAAGGATCTTATCTAACAGCATTGCAGTTGCTTATGGCGTACAAGGCTAAAATTAATTCAGCTATTTAATCTTAATAATAACAATGTAGTTAAAAATCTTTGACTTTAATAGCATTTTCTATGTATGAATAGCTGAAGTAATATTCCTATAATTTTAATCTAACATTGGTTAGATCCGAAAACATTGTTAGTGTAATAAGACTGTAGAATTTATAATTATTGCTATTTTTCATTTTTAATAACAAAGTAATGTGTCTTATTTTCTAAGAAAATGAAGAACACTGGTGTACTCTAATACATACATGAATCTTTATAAATGTTCTTTAAAAAATATGCCAGTATTTTCTTTGCATATATTAAATGAAAGCATAGAATCATTAAACGCTTTAATATACTTTTTGTTCTACCTTTGTATATGGACTGCGCTGGAAAATACAGAATGTGGGTTAATCATCTGAAACGATACTTAACAGCCATGAGACTTCACAAATGACAACTGCTCACTACGTAGTCCATGCTGAAAACGACGATCCAAAATTTCCCTATTAATGAAAACAATTGTTACATTCTTCAGTATAGTCTCCTGCCATCTGCTTCTCATGCTGTTATGGTTTTGATTTATGGAAAATGTTTATCAAAATGTTGCAAAATTGCTAAGAGGCATA